TTATGCATGCCTTGAAACATGATTCATAATTTGTTCAGAAAGGGACAGGAGCCAGGAAAGGATGTGAAGAGAAACAGGCACTGTTGGTGCAGTTGATGAATTTTGCTGTAATATTGCAGCTTGATTAAAAAGGGAGTCCAATAAACAGTAGTGGAGTAAGGAAGAAGGAGACTGCAGTAGCCAGGCAGAGAAGAATACAGCTTGCAGTGTTTCACAGCTGAGGCAAAGTAGGATGGACTGATAGGGAAGACCTAGCAGATCTTATGGTAAAGGCCTTATCACAACCTGCTTACATGTTAGTGTAGTTGTCAGATATGGTGAGTTTCATTTGTTCAGCTAACCACTTACAGAGTCTGAAGACAAGTTTTTTTGCTGTGGGTATGCTTAGTTCATTCATTAGTCATCTCTCATTTCGATTACTGTAATGGCTTCTGGCTAGACGTTGTCCTTCTTCTGCTCTTCACTTTCAGTCTATTCAGAAATCTGCCACATACATAGTATCTTGTCATCTTCTCTGTTCACTTCGTTTTGCTGCCAGATCCCCTTAAAACTAACTTTAAACGTCACACTCAAGATGAAAGCAAAGCCACACTTAGAATTCCTAGTTAAAAGAAATGGTTGTTTGTCCTATCTTGTAGTTATTTCATGTCCTATCATGTAGTTATTCAGTATTTTAAAAGCCCATCACTCTTGCAGTGTGACAGCCACCTTGGAGTTCTGCAGGATCTGCATGGCAGTGAATGCTCATAGTAATTCACAAGACTTCTGCTCCCACTGTGTGTGGTCCTGCACTGCCAGCTGGCTACAACAAAGAGAGAAGAGATTCAAGATTTCCTTCCAGAAGAATGGGAGTGGTGCTTGTGCATGTATTGCATCTGCTCCTGCCTTGAACAGAGGAAAAGGGCAAGTTGCTGTTAGTGTGTTGGTAGGAAGACAAGAATAACTTTAGGTTACAGCGGGTATGCAAAGCTGCTGTGGAAGAAAGCAATAAAATGGCAGCTTTGGTGTTGGTGTTGGTTGTGGTCTGAAGAGCAGATTGTTGCCTTCTCTTTTTCCAGGCTTTTATTTCTGAAAGGCATCCAGTAGGAGAGGGCTCAGAAGGTGAAGCAGAGAATTTAGGCTACACTATGTTACTGGCTGGGGAGAGAAGCTGACTGCAGTGAACATGGGGATCTGACAATTGTGGACCATCACTGTGAGTTATTTTGAGAGTGAAGAAAAATGGCTATTAGAAGAAAGAGGATTGTCAATTTATAAGGGAGAAGTAGATCAGATTACCAGGTGATTGTGATCACCTTGCAAAGAAATCCATCACTGGGTTCCATCTGTGTCATTTGCATCTGTGGCTGTCCTTAAATAGAAGTTACTTGTATCCTGAAGGATGGTAAGAGACGGGAGATTCTCTCCTAATAGGAAGGAGACAAGAGCTTACTTGATTAGGGATTTGCAAATGCAGTGTGATTGCAAATCATTGAAGATAATGAGAGTAAAAATTTACATGTTAATACCAAAATTAGTAACATCAGGAAATACAGTAAGTGAGAGAAAATTTTGAACCAGGAGCCCTGAAAGCTCTTCCCAGGGGCTTACTGGGTGGCAATGGAAGAACTTGTACGAGCTGTGAGAACTCACAGCTCCATGTCAGTCACTGAAAACAGGTCTCAGCAAATGAACTCTGAGGTTGTGGCTCTGCAACTTGCCAGGCTCCAGCACTGGGCTTTTGTCCTCTTTCAAAAAACAGTTACTTTCCAGAACAATTTTTGAGCTTTGAACAGAGTGATATTGCAGTGGTTGTGGAAATACAGTCTTTTTCTTTTGTCTAATACTTATCCTCAGTTACAAAGTAGCTTGTTAGTATGTTGTCTCGGTATGTTCTGAGACCTCATCTATATGTTAGCATAGTTACAACTGGGAAATGCTGTTATAATTCTACTACTCCCTGCTATTAGAATGGCCAGGAAATAGGGTCAAAATGCTTTAAGATTTGAGAATATTTTTCAAAACATTTTAAAACTGTTTGCTCCTATCTGTGGCAGAGACAAATGTGAGCTGAATTGATCCGTGCCATAGCAATTGTTCTGCTTGATGTCCATGTCCTGTGTCACAGGCCTGTGCTCCTAAAGAGAGCAGTCTTTGTTGAAGGCTGCATGGAGTATGTCTTGTGGAGCATGAGAAGCTTCAGCAAGAATACCATCTGGCTTTTAGCTTTTCTATCCTAGCTCTCTAGTCTCTCTTTTCCCTTTCTTCTCTAAGGTAAAGAGCAGTCACTGTCAGAGCAAAAGGAACATTCTAACAGGTGCTTGGAGTCAGTGGGAAGTGAATGACCCAAACCTGCAAATTGGACTGGGCCCTGTGTATATTGTAGATCTGCAGGGCTGGGTGAGGAGTGCTCCCTGTTTTCTGGTTCCTCATCTGCCCATGCTGCCCAGCAGCTCTGGAGCTCAGAAGAGGAAGGCCCTTGGGCCCGTAGCCCTGCAGACAGAGTGGGCTGTGGACCTGCACAGGGGCCCAGGCATGGTGAGGCCCATGGGGCAAGAGGACCCAGGGCATCTGTGTACAGGTACAGGGTACCAGCAGGGCATTAAGGAGTTGCAGTTCCCACTTGGTTTAGGGGAGAAGGGTCAATTTTTCTAGAGCCTGGAGTGCAAGGTAAATTTGGAGGGAGGGAACAGAGAATAAGAATAAGGCTCATTACAGTTGTGGGGAGGGGAGAGCCCTGGAGGGTGGAATGCAAGGTTTGGGCCAAGCCAAAGTGTGAAGGGTACATGTACATGCACTTGTACATGTGTGTGGGTGGGACAGCTGAGGAAGCACAGGAAGAACACAACCACAGAAGAATAAAGGGAGAAGCCTGATTATAAACCTACCAGAAGGGTTGAGCTAAGGCGTAGCTTGGCCAGAAATGGGGGCGTGTCTGTGTTATGTTGTTTGTTATTAAACAGAGAATAACCAGAAAGGAAAGTGAAAATGTACTTTAGCTCTTGGATTCGTGCAGGATATTCTGAGACATGAAACATGTAAGCAGAAAACATGAGGTTGGCAAGACAGAGTGATCTATCCATGTTAACTTTTGTGTTTGCAAATGAGTAATAAACTCGGAGAAAGACACGAAAATTCACGTCAATGTGAAGTTTTCAGAGGCTGATTATGATTGAATTATTTTTCTTTTTTAATCCAGTGACTGTTGAGAAACTGAACATTTAATCGGAAAGGTGCTTTGCTCCATGTCCCATTTCTAACAGCATTGTTACATTAATGTCTACATTTCTTCTGCTAAATTGCTTTTTGATCTGCAGTTCTCCCTGCCTGTAGTCCAGCCTTCCTTTTATGCTTATTTTCTGTCTATCAAAAATCCTTAAAAAATCCTTGGCTTCAGCAACACATGATACTTCCCAGCCTTGTTTCAGCCAGGAAATTTAACACTCGCTGTTGTCTGCCCATGATGAAGTTTGCTTCCACAGCATGAGAAGTCCCTAAAGTTCATTGCAGTCCTGTAATGTCCTAATCTCACTGGCACACACAGTTTGCAGTGTTGCAAAGTCTCTTAAGTTCAGGGATTTATCATAAAGGGACTTGTTTTTACCAAGAGGCAAAGCTACAATTTCTTGTTGTTGTTGCTTTCTCAAATATCAGATTAGTCTTGTTTCAATTAATTGACCCTGACATGCCTAAATTCTTTTTTTAGGAGGTGTATATAGCTGGCTTCTGCAACTTCCTTTAAAATTTAGATTACTTTATACTTTGGTTTAAGAAATTATTCATAATCTTGTTTGTTTCTGTTTATTATTGTTTCTTATGCTGTAGCACATGCTGGCTTACTTTCTAACTTGCCAAACAGGAAATTAATCTCAACCACTCTTACTGCGTAATCTCCTTGGGGTACCAGTTAGTCTATCAGTAGTTGTTTTAGAATAATACTACACATCTGGGATACTGTCCCAGGTAATGAATGCTGTTTGCTCAGCTCACACTTTCCACAAAAATGGGTCTGAATTAGAGAGCTTTGCAGTGTAACTACTAGGCCAGATTTGTGCTTTCTCTTGTCGATGGGTGATGTAATTCTGAAGGTGGTTCTCTCTCCTGTCACACATAAAAGGCTGCCGGTCTCCAGCTGCTCAGTTTGTCTGGGAAAGGTGAGCTTGATACTGACACTGAGTTCAGATTTTAAGTGTGTCTTGGATTTTTCTCCAGCTCAAATTCAGGACCAGAGAGCTACTGAAGGATATGGTGAAAAGCCAGTGCCATGTAAGGGAGTCTGTAGTGGCTTCTCTGTGAGCACTGAGAAAAGAGGTGCAACAGAGCTCCTCCAGGCTCTCCCAGTGTTGAACATGGTGTATTCCCTTACGGATCTGGCAGCGACCTACTCCTGTACAGTCTCTGTGTGATGAAGTAGTACTGTTTCAACTTAGAAATCAAGGAGCATTGAGCAACCAAGCATGCAGACTACTGGTGTAACTATCCATACGTTCAGAGCAGGCACAACAAACTCTGATCTTACCAAGAGACTGCAGACATTACTTTCTCCATGCCCTGAAAGAGTCACCTTTGTATTATCTGGATGACATCTGTGCTAACTTACTGTCACCTGACTCCATTCTTGGACAGGCACAGGGAAAACAAACATGTCTTATCAGCTGACATAAACTAGACTTATGCTTACATCATCCAAATACTGAAAAAAACAGCAGACCCAAGTTACCTTGTTGTGTCCTTCTGGCGTCATGTGTGCCCTAAACAGAAATGCAGTCAAAAAAAGCCTTGCAGTCCAGAGGCAGTGGGCCACTGACCACATGATCTGCTTTCTTCTCTGAGAAGAGGGAGGTAGAAGCACTGACGTGCTGCTTCCCTGTTCTCCCTCCATAATTCAGCAGCTTGTTTTATCCTTTGCTTGATTTTACTGTAAAGTGCATTCATAGCTGGCTGCTGCTGCCTGCAGTAACAAGGAGCAGTATAATAAGCAGTGCATTGCTAACATAAGCATGTTTTATTTTTCTTTACAGGTAACTGTGCTGGTCCTTTTTGCCCTTGCGTTCTTAACGTGTGTTGTATTTCTGGTAGTCTACAAGGTTTACAAGTATGATCACACCTGTCCGGAAGGATTTGTTTTCAAGGTAAATTGCATACCCATTCTAGAAACACAGGAGAGTATGTAATATTCCGTGTTGTTCTATGCATAACCTTGATTAAGTCATGCTGCACTGCACAGAATTTTGTGATTCTTCTCATAGGTTAGTGTGCTTCCTGCTACGTTTTTCTCATTAACTGAGGTTGTACTATTGCACAATATTAATAATGTTTTTATTTTGCTAATGCTTTAAACATTGAAAATATAGCAAAAATCCAAACACTGGTGTCCTTCAGACTTCATCTGCAGTTGTCCAGACAAAGCCCTCATTTAAGGGTCATATGGTGTAATGTTGAATGGTCTTCCAAAATAAGAGAATGATAAAACCTGGAGAAAAAAAATTCTGGAATATGTGTCAGAGAAACAGTAGAGTGATGTTCTCATTAAGAGTAGTAGAGTTACATGAGGGTTATTTTTGTAGGAAGAACTTCTTGTTCTAGAACAGTGACCTCCGAGCCCTACTGCCACAGGCCAAAAGTGATGCCAAAAAAGGGAAAATACATTTATTGGAAAAAAATACCGGTTCTAACCAAAAGAGAGGCTGGGCTGACTTCATTTATGTGAGGTGGTAGTGCTGGCTCCTCAGTTATGACCTGGGCTGAAAGTCAGAAAAGTAACATTGATTTCTGTTGTAAATTTAGCAGGGTTGAACTTGGCTGTAATTAGATAAGAAAAGTAGCAGTGATGATGGCAGTCTTCCCTCTAATTTTCTAAAAATATTTAGTCAAATAATGAATCAAGTGGGTACCCAGTATGAACTTCAAAAGGAACTACTTGACAATTCAGGATTTCTATCTGTCACTGCAGGCACATAAATATCTTACAAGAACCTAGTCCAAAATTATAATCAGTGATGCCCTGTTGGATTAATTTAGCTTCAAGCATTCAGTTGGTTACTACTTTCCCAGCAAAAGATACTGTGGTTAGAATACTTGGCTGTAACTCAGGAGATCAGCTTTCAGTTCTGTTGGTTTTTTGTGTTGTCTTAGACAAGCACTGAAACCCTTCTGTGCTCATGTCTCGTGGGACAATAGCCCAGTAGCCCTTTTTTCCCCCCCTAAGCTTTCTGTTGGCATAGAGGAATTTGGAATATGGACTACATGTTCCTACCAAACTTGTCTTGATGTGACCCTGACTTGACAGGAACAGCTAGTTTATGTGCTCCTATGTAAGTCTAGCAGCAGTCTCCTGCTTCTGCTTCCTTTCGCACCGTGTTGTCCTCTCCTTTGAGTTGCAGCCTTCTGGCTTCTTTTGGCTTTTCTTGGTAGTGCCACAATATTTAAGGGAAGAACAGTTTCTTAGCTACATTTTAGTTGCACTGAGTCTGGTTGTGTTTCTTTCCTTAGGGTCCTGTGTTTGGGACAGAAGTTAGGCAGAATGTCCCATAGCTTGTGCTGTTTTTAAGGTGCAGCAGGTACACAGGGCTGCGTTATGGTTACTCTCCTGGTGTTTTTTTGGAGGCTGCTTAGAGCTGCTTGATCGCATAATGCCAGAAGACACGGCATCTTTGGTAATGTAACTCTAAAAAAGTTTTACAGGATAAACATATTAGCAAATGACACAAGGCCTGAAACTACCAATGTTGAGATGAATTTTTGTTTGCCTGTGCATCTGTTTTGGGGAGAGTCTGTGATATGTCCTGGCATAGCTTGGCACACATGTCCTAGGAGACATGAAATCTGTCACCTTATGAGCAGTGTATCAGTGGACTGGCTTCATCCTTAGGTAGACTCAACAACATTTCCTGGCCTGGATGTCCCTAGGTTTCAGATGCTGATATGATTTCCTGGTTAAGGGCAAAGGTGTCCCTGCCTCAGGAAGCCTGGTTCTGTAGGAATCGCTACATAAAGGCTGAGCTGTTGCAGCTGAGTCAGACTCGCTCTTCTCTGCTTTGATGCTCTCATACATGGAGCAGTTCCAAACGTTTCTGCTGTCCTACGCCTCCAGGAGTTGAGGGTGTATTTTAAACAGTGCTCATCTTCCTTTGTGCAGCAGTTTTAACCAGCCTTATTTCTGTGCTTGCTTAAGCTGAGACAGCCCTAGTACTGCTGCTATGCTGATTGCTCCTCTGAGCACTCTTCAATGCCTGTTGGTGAGACTCAAAACTTGAGTGCACTTACATCCCGGAGGAATTTCTCCAGGACGTCAGTATGCTCTGTACCATATCTGTTACCCTTCAGCTTTTTTTGCCAAAGCACATGCATTCTGTCAGACTTGTGGACAGTAACTTTCAGTGCACTGGAGACCACAGCATCATCTGTGTAATTGGGAATTATTGACCCAGCAAAGTTAACATGACAGAAGATACTGTTTATAAGAGAATACCACTGGGGTCTTCATGTCAAAGGAACAAAAGGAGTCATCTTAATTCAGCCAGATATAGACTGGCAACCAGGGTTTTCTCTGGCATCAAAGGCCATAACCCACAACTAATTTCCAAAATTGAAGGGCTGTAAAAGAAAGAAGAGACTTGACTGTGGAGCATCTCACTTTCTTCTCATGGCCTTCTTACTTCTCTCACCTGGGAACCATGGAAACAAACAAAAAGGATAGAGAGAAATGTTCTGCATAGCTGAAAGTCTTAGGCAAGTCCCAGGATAAAATTGGCAGCAGTTCCCATAGCTCAGTCACTGGGTGCTGCGTGGCTTGCCTTGACTGGGAACTAAGCAAAGGGGCTGCTCCTGGGCAGAACACAAGGGGCAGTGAGTAAAAGGGATGATTTTCCCATCTTTTCTAGAAGAGCAAAATCCTGAGAGCAAAAATGTAGTCAAGATAGAAACTGCTGTTTCTTTAGGCTCTTCTGTCAGATGTTGTGCATGTTTGTGACTATGAAAAAAAAACCAAACTAAAAACCATTACTGAGTCATTTTTGCCTGTTACAAAGCAAATTGCTTCTAAAGGCAACAGACGATTCTGTGGCATTTTTAAGACTGTCAATCTTGGCTTGTCTTCAGCTCTAATAATTATATTTGCTTGAATTTCCTTGGCAGATTTCATTAGCTCAATGGATTGTGTTCCTTCTCCCATTTTAAATATTTAGAATTGTGACTACATCCCATGACTGGGTGAAATAATCACTACAAATATGTCTGTATCTGTATACTTATTAGCCATTTATCACATCAGCATTAGTGTCAGTTATCCCAGATAAAGCACGGATAATACTTCCAGAAGATGGCATGTTGATGTAATTCAACATGTGTATCAAATAGCTCTATTCCAGATTCCTGGATTATGTTTTTATAAATCTAGGTCCCAGTCTTGCAGCTGAAAACCTCTGCTGATTTAAACAGTGCTGAACGGGCACAGGTGCTGCTCAGCTGGGGTTAAATCCCTTCTGCTTTGTTGTGCTACTTCAACAAAATGGAGAGGGAAGATTTGCCCCAGCTGCTGCTTTGACAAAAGATAAGATAACAAATAAAGGGAACCTGGGTGGATGTGGTAACTTTGGGCACTGTCGAGTCTGACACACTTCAAGGCTTCTGTCACACCCGTAGGTTCAAGCCGGTGAGGTGTTGTCTCTGTGGGAGGGCTGTTAGTTTTGTGACAGTGAGGCTTCTTTGAGCCATCAAATGTGCCATGTGATTGAATTCCCCAGGGGCAGGCAGCTTCATAAGACTACCCATGGGCCTGTTGTTTTGGCAGGTCTCCGTTTTTTCTTTCCTACCTTTTGATGCCTTTTTATCACACTAACATTTTTAGGATGCAAAATTTGTATTAAGCCAAGACTGTCTGCTGGATCTTCCTCCTTTTTATGCTGTATGATTTTAACCAGTTGAAACTGTTGTTACTGGTGCTTATTTATGCCACTTCTCTTTTTCTTTTTGTCGGCAAGGATAAAAGTGAACTTAGAAGTAAATGTGGACACAGTTGAGGTAGCATCTGGTCCTAAAACCCATGGAATTTTTGCACGTGTTTTTATGCTGAGAAATTTCCAGTATTAAATTTCGTTTGCTGAGCTGTAGGAGAACAGTAGCAGTTCAAAGTTGCTGTGCCATAATACTATAAATTTTAGTCCTCCGGTGCTGGAAGCGGGAAGACTGAACAACCTATTTCTTTTTAAAAGAGCCAGAGTAGAAATGATTAAAGCTATTTTTCTGAAGCTGCAGCTACTCATAGCTTACAGAGAGTCAATTCACTTGCTCAAGTGACTGTCCTAACATGCTGAGGTATCAAGCAAGACTGCCTGGACTAGCTGGTGTGGAAAGAGGACCTGGAGAGAGACCCCATGACCTTATGGGGCAAAACTTAGGAGTCACAGTCGTTTTTAGGAGTCGTTTTTTCCTTCAGTGCAACCAGCTTCTCTGTAGGCTCTTAATCACTGGAACAGTTACTAGATAAGACCTGTGACAAATGCACTGCACAGGCACACTCACTTTGGGTTTTAAGATGACAGCAAAATTTGGATTCCACTTAGTATTTAACCCTCTAAATCACCTTTTTCACTCTCCAAAGCTCTAAGCATGTAGCAGGTTCTATGTAGTGCTCGTGCACTCCTGGGAAATGAAATAATGTAGTCCCACAGTTACAGAGAGCTTTTTAAAAGCGTGCTGTTGGCTACATCTTTCTGACGAAGAGTGAAGTATTTTCTATGTGTGTACACACTTGTGCATATGCTTGGCCACCCGCAATGTTTTCCTGTATGTCTTAGTTACTGGGCTGTAAAACTGTTCATAGGCTGGCACCAATATATCTGTGTTAATTTCCATCCCTTGGACTGCAAACACCGTAGTAAATTGCCTGAAGTTAATCTAATGGTAGGATACAGACAGCTGTAGCTGTAAACCAACCAGCTGGAAGTAAGTGGGCAAGAAAAAACAGCAAAATATGGCTGGAACTAGAGACTGAAAACTTTAAAAAATAATTTTAGGCAAGCATGTTACGTTAATTATGCTGGCATATAAACCCAGAGTGGTCTTCCTGGCAAATGCATGAATAGTTTAAGGAGTGCAGGGAAGAACATTTTGAACACAGTAGGACAACACTGTAGTTAATTGCTGTATATTGCATCTTGACTCACAGAATGTGACTGTTGGCTTAGACTAAAAATAAAAGGAGAAAAAAACCCCTAATCTGCTGCTGGTGTGTGTGGGGCTGTATCTGTAATCTAAGAGATGGATTTTCCTTTCAGAATAATCAGTGCATTCCAGCTGGGTTGGAAAACTACTACTCTGAACAAGACTCCAGCGCTCGAGGGAAATTTTACACAGTCATAAACCACTACAACCTGGCCAAACAAACCATCACGCGCTCCGTGTCCCCGTGGATGACAGTACTGTCAGAAGAGAAACTGTCTGAACAGGAGACTGAAGCTGCTGAGAAATCAGCTTAGTATGATAAGCGAATTATTAAAAATATGTAATTTGAAGGTAACTAAGGGACTTCAAGGAACTTTTCATTGAATATAATTATGAATAATTTAGAGGTTACTCATGTTTATGGTGCAATTGCTTCTGTTTGCTGATACTGCTTTGCAAAAAAAAAAAAAAAAAACACAAAAACCAAAACAAAAACTTGCTGCAGAACATTCATGGGCATAACCCCAGGTGCATATCAGCATTGCTGTAGAGCTTTGACACCATTTTCAATGTTAAAAAAAATCCAATGCTAAGATATGTTCTTGCAGTTTATTGGATACTGATAGATTTCATCACTGGATTTTCAGGGCTTGGACCTTAGATAAATGATGTGTTCTGTTGTCTGAACAGATACTTAATTTGTTAAGTTTTTTAATTCTCTTTGTCATTTTGCAAACTGAAACACCCCAGCCATAACTAGAGTGATCTCTTGTTTAGCTGAAAGCTGTAAGTAATACTTAGTTTGGGCTCAAGCAAGAACGGTAGTCAGCACTGATGTCGGGGGCGTAATGTAATGACTTGTATGGAGAAAGAAACTGTCAGGTCCCATTTTTCCTTATGTTTCCTTTACTGTTGTTTATTTGTAAGTGATAATGAAGTTCTCTGCAACAAGGCATGCTCAATGTTTTCTTATTGCTGTCAACAGGATTTAACTGCATTTCCACTGTGGCTTTAGCATCTTGGTAAGGATGTGCACTGAAACACAAACTAGATAGACATTATGGAAAAACACCAACAGTTTTAGTGGTGGGTGTCGAGGATAGTGTAAAAACTATACAGTTCAGGATGTTCTGATGAGAAATGACATCTTTTGATGATCTTTTGATCATACTTTAAGAGTACATGTAGTCTACTATGTCATTTGTTGGATACAACTGAGGGAGTAATATGTCTAAATTTTCTCCTGTATTACATTCACATTTTCCCTTCTTATTAATTAGAAAGAGCTTTCTGTTTATGTATGGTTTGCAGTTTGATACTTTTTAAAACACAGAGCATCACAAGTGAAACAGTAGCATATTAGATACCACAACTGACTGTTTTGAAGCTACATGTGAAACAGAGTGAGGAGTAGAACTGTTTGTGTATGGCTTGGGAGGGGAAAAGACGTAGAAGAACATAGTATTGTGGATGCACGTTAAAGTTCCATTGTAATTACAAACTTACCTATTCTTTGTGTGAAATCATGTTTTCATTTTTATTATAAATCTTAAATATACATTACAAAAGGACATTATTAATTTAACATACAAAATAAGTGTGTGAAGCATCTAGGCAAGCAAGTCACCTTTTTGTTCATGTTACTTGAATGGGATAAGGGGTAGTGGACATGTCAAAAGTTCCTTTTTTTTTTTTTTTGGTAGAGTCTATTAAAAAATTGAAAGGGAAACATCAGTATAGGCTATTTCTCAAGATCAGTAGTAGAACAAACATGGTCAGCTCTACTTCTGTTTCTCTCCAGCAAAATTGCTTTATCAAAGCCTTTCATTCCAATACAGTAAAAATAACCATTATGACTCAATGCTCAAGGCTTGATAATGAAATGTGCATCACAGTGCAGCTCTAAAAGGCTGTTAATATATTAAGTCATCATGGTATGTGGAATGCATCAAAAGCAATAAATTATGTGCCAGTTTTTTTCTTTGCATTTAAAAATATCAAGCTTATGTTAAGATCTTCGACACATACCATGTTTGCAATTTTTAACAGGTATCTGCTTTATTGAATGTAATTAATTCACATGTAACTTTTGACATTTTCACTCTGTGCAGAGTAAAGAATAAGAGTGATGCTGCTTGTTGCATATAATGTATAGAAATATACATTTCAGAAGAGATATGAAACCACACACATTTCATCCCAACGTATTTACAGAGGACATTCAGATTTCACAGGTTGGAAAGATCTGTTCCCCAAGACTGTCCTACATAGAAATGATTCATGATACATCTCCTCCCCTTAAATTTAGGACAATAAAAATTTTAATGCACAAGTAAATACTGATGAGAAACAACTTCTTTTTCTCCTCCTAACAACAAACAATAAAAATTAGTAAGCCATACAATCTAGGAGAAGCAGATTGCTTATGCTTCTTGAAGTCAAAACCATTTTTCTCTGATTTAATAGGAGAGAGTTTATTGATTCTTATCTACAGTTGGTTTTGAGGTATTTTTTTTTTTTAGTTAACAACCTGCTCCCAGTTTTAGTACTTGGACTTTAATACTGTCCATCCTTTGGCTTTGTTCCAGCATCCCAGAACATGTTTCACTGCACAATCTGTCTATGTTGTATTCTCTCTTTTCACCTAGAAGTAAAGCTCTTTAGTTGACTCCTTATCATTATTGCTACTAAAAAATCAAGCTGATTTCTCAGTCAAGTAGTTTCAAAGGATTAGAAGTAGAGGTCATAGCTGTGCAAAGTGATCACTGTGTACTGAATGGTAAATAAACGCCTGAGACAGTGTAGATACTTTTGCACAGTAACACTTCTCTCTCGCTCTGGGATGGGAGCTGGACTTTCAACATCACAAGTGGGTGGCTGTGACAAAACCAGTATTGTTATTTTTTCTTCCATTAGCTCTGCTCCAGCTTGTAGCTTTCTTCCCAGCCCTTTTAAAGAGTGTTCTCCGAAGGATTAAGCGTGGTTTTATATTTGACAAATGGATTTAAAATGAAGGCTATCAGTTCCCTCTGCACTAATGGATATATGTACACACTTATTTATTGGAAAATATTTCCATCATAGAGGTATGAAAAATGCATTAAATATGTAGGTATGCCATATACCCAGCTCCATTGAAAAAAAAGTCAAAAGTTTTACAAACAAAGCACGTAGACAATAGTATGTTTAATTAATTATCATACCAGTCCAAGAAGAGCAAGGAAAATGAACACATCACAAGGAAGAATAGGATCCACACTCTAAATCCAGCATTGTTTTTGATGGCCTGTGAGAAAAAGGTTATCCCTGTTACCATCACCAGTAAACACACAGAATTTCAACAACGGCAACCCAGGATGCCTGTTAGTGGCATCACCCTTCCCTCCCACGTGAGAAGTAACCACGGTGGTAGCGGATCAAGGGTTGGACTTGATGATCCCAGAGGTCCTTTCCAACCTGGCTGATTCTATGATAAGTAACATAATTTGCCCTTAATTTCAGATAAATACAGGTCAGATAGGCTGTACTTCTTTAGATTTATCAGTGAAGTTGCACTCAAAATTTTCAAATCAGACATTTAGGAAAAAAAAAGAAAATCCCAAGATCCCATGCAATGGAACTCAAAACATTAGGAACTACATCAAAAAGTACACGCTTCTAGATTAGTGTCAAGTTCCAAATGTGAAATTCCATGATTAGAAGTAAGAAGGCATTTATCTTTCTAATTAACATCTGAGTTAAACAAATGAAAAACCAACAAAACCAAACAAAAAACCCCCTGACACGTATGGAGGTTGATATAGCACAGTGGGTGCTCTCACAGCAAGTATTTTTCTAGGATTCTTCTTCCCAAAATTGAGACCAGCATGTACCAGGGGACCTGGTTTTCACTCTAATTTTTCAGATTTACAGGTGGAAGATTTTTTTTTTACATGGTACAAACATCAATGTGAGTGACAAGTTTTGTATTTAGCACCTTTTGCTAGTTTCTTAGTGTGGTTTAGGAAACTTAGTTCTACCTAAAAATGTGAAAAATGAAGCAAAAATAACTTCAGTTCTTGCCACATTTGATGCACTTTTCAGGAGAGCAGAGCAGTAAATAACATCCTTGAGATACCTTTTCTGTGTGCTCTCAGGAGGGCCATTTACTCAATAGCCTAATTTAGGAACTCTGTTTTTATTGAAATCTCAGTTACTGAAAGAAAACATCCTTTCCTTCTAATTAGTAAGACAGTGGAAGAGATTTTTTACTAGGAACATGTGAGAAGTGTTCAGGGTGGCAAAGAGTCTCTTCTGCTAATGCTTAGCATTTAACTCTAGTTTCAACCATTTCAGCACTGTCTTTTATCGTAGTCTGCAATTTCTGCCCCCTCCTCACCTTTTTTTTAAAACCAACTTCACAGGTGCTTAAATGCAAGCCAGGTGACCTTCATATTTAAAAAATTGATGAGGCCAAGTAGATTTCTGCAGACCTGTGAGCTATTCAGATCATGTTTAGAACTAATGAAAACCTCAGCTAACTTGAATAGTTTTCCCAAACCCATGTCCTGACACCCCAGCACCCACTGCACCGGTCCTGTGGGGGAGCTCTCACGTGCTGTTTAAAGCAACACTTGGGAAAAACTGAAAGTTAAGAAACAAGCGAGTTTAAAACACAACTTGAAGACATTACCTCTCTTATGTCTTCGTTGCCTTCTTTGATATTCTCTGTTGCACCGACAACTAATTGATGGATATTGTCAATATCAGTTTCCTGTTTTAAAAAAGAAATAAAACTGAGAAACAGTAATGAAAGTTAGGAAAAAACCACTTCCAAGCACTTAGAGAACAATCAGAACTCAAAAATAAATCTGGTATTACTAACATCTTTGTTTCATTGATGCAAAGGTATAGAGTAATTACAATTAAGTTGCAATTTCTTTATCTGTGATTTTATGAGCTTGAATGGAGACCACCAAGATCAGCAGGAAGTCTCCCATTTATCCAAGTTTAACCTGTCTGATATTTCCCAGCTCTTTTGGAAGAGGTGGCACCACTTCCATAAAGTATGTTATGAAATAACACATTTAACAGAACACCAGTTCTGAGGCAGAAGAATCATCCTAACACATGTTGCGTTTTCCATTCCCGGTACATACTAATAAGTAACAACAGTGAATATCTTGATTTTGAATTTGAAAAACAAACAAAAATCTTTTCCTTCACATGTGCACCAAAGATTCATTAACCTTATGTTTACACATTGCATGCAGGCAAGAGCAAAATATCCCCAAGAAAATCTTCAAGCTTTATTTGCTGCTGCAGTATTAAAATATACTAACCTGTTGCAAGACTTTCTCAGTGAATATCTCTTGTAATCTGGAGATTTCCACCACTTTTCCTTCAATTTGTCTTGGCAAAGAAGAGAAATACTTCATTAGAAACTAAATGCAAACATGTGTTGCTGTTGCAGATTCAGACTCTCCAGCCCAGTAAGTGGCTGTTCAGGTGGCTGTTTTGTCAGCCATCAGTGGGGCAGCACCAGCCTGTGATCAGGGCTCGGATGTTCCTGGTTGGAAAACAACCAGCCAATAGAGAAGCCCTGGAAAAGGCATCACCCCGCAGCGCTCAGTGAGCTGCCTTCACTGCCGGGGGCTCACCTGTCTCCCTTCTTCAGTCTCACATAACAACATCCATGGTGGGCCCCAAGCAGCTGATTTTGACATGTCCTCTTTATAGGCTACTATGACCTGTGGAATTTACCTTGCCTGGGACTAATAATCCAAAAGTCAGTTTCTAGCTTGAGTAGCTGTTCAGCTGTTCTGCACAGCAAGGGAGAGTGAACGGTGCTGCTGTAAGGACAGCCAGGTCTCTGCACAGGGTCAGCGATGGCACCTCCCCCACTGCTGTCTGTGTACGCAGTGGACCACAGGATATGAGTGGAAAACTTAGCATTTTAAAACTTGGGTAAGGGAGAATGCAAACTTTCCAAATTTAACCAGTATTACTCTGGATAGTTTGTGTGACCCTCAGAA